GAGTGACTGAACTGAACTTTCTACTTATAGTTAATACAAAATATTGGCTATATTCCTCATGTTGTGCAAACATCCTTGAGGCTAGTTTACACCCAGTTCTCTGTACTGATAACCACTAGCTTGTTCTCTATACCTGTGAGTCGGCTTCACTTCTGTCATATTCCCCAGTTGGTTGTATTTTTCAGACTCCACATATAAGCAGTATCATACAGTCTTCGTCTTTCTCTGTCTCACTTCTTTCACTTTCATGTAATGCCCTCCAAGTACATCCATGTTGCTGCGAATTTCATTTTTCACGGCTGAGTAACACTCCATTATGTGTATACATACCAAAAATTTTTTGGCCGCACCACGTGCAGGATCTTAGTTCCCAACCAAGGATCAAGCCTGTGCCCCTTGCAGCGCAAACCTGGATTAACTCCTGGGCCACCTCTTCTTTACCCATTCACCCGTCAGTGAGCACTGGGCTCACCAATTCACCTGAATCGCTCCAGGCCACAAGGGGTGCTGGGCCCCACCGACTGTAATCAAAAAGCAGAGGAAAGGAAATGCAGACAGCCGAAGACCCGCCCCTCGAGGCTCTGAAATATACACAGTCAATCATCATTATCTGTGAATCTGTCTACTCACTAATTACAAAAAATACTGTGCTGGTCTACAACCACCTGTGGACCTGCTCAGACTGGGAAGATACTTCGGTCGCCTGCGGGGCCTGTTCCTGGGGAGGAGGGACAGACACCCTCTGCCCCGTTCCAGCTCTCATGCATCCTCAACACAGTCCATTTAGTGCCACACTTTCTGCATGTCTGGGCTTTGTGTTCATGACTTTCCTGCTTAAAACGGACCCCAAGCCTAGGGCTAAAGGGCTGGCTGGTGTCCTAAGCCCAGGAAAGCTATGAAGAGCCTAACAGAGAAAACACGTGTTGAATGAGCTTTGATCAGGCTGAGTCATGGTGCTGATGGCCAAGTTCAGCATGAATGAACTGAAAATGCACAATAAATAAGGTGTCTTTAGGGACTTCCGTGCTGGTTGAGTGGTTAAGACTTTGCCTTCCAATGCAGGGTGGAAGCCAGGTGTTCCATCCCTGGCTGGGGAACAAAGATCCCACAGGCCAGAAACTCAAAACAGAGAACAGAAATGCTATTTTAACAAATTCAATAATGACTTTAAAAATGGTCCACATTAAAAAAAAAAATCTTTACAATAAAATCATGGGCATATTAAAAAGCAAAGATGTTACTTTGCCAACAAAGGTCCGTCTACTCAAGGCTGTGGTTTTTCCAATAGTCATGTATGGATGTGAGAGTTGGACTATAAAGAAAGCTGAGCGCCGAAGAAGTGATGCTTTTGAACTGTGGTGTTGGAGAAGACTCTTGAGAGTCCCTTGGACTGCAAGGAGATCCAACCAGTCCGTCCTAAAAGAAATCAGTCCTGAATATTCATTGGAAGGACTGATGCTGAAGCTGAAACACCAATACTTTGGCCACCTGATGCGAACAACTGACTCACTTGAAAAGACCCTGATGCTGGGAAAGATTGAAAGCGGGAGGAGAAGGGGACAACAGAGGATGAGATGGTTGGATGGCATCACCGACTCAATGGACATGAGTTTGAGTAAACTCGGGTGATGGAGAGGGAGGCCTGGTGTGCTGCAGTCCATGGGTCCCAAACAGTCGGACACGACTGAGCGACTGAACTGAATGTGTCTTTAAACAGAAACACAAAGTTAGGTACTGATCAGTGGACACTGGGGGACCAGAGGCTCACGGGAGCCTAATGAGGTTGAAGTTACTGAAAGCCTTTCGTCACGACATTTCCCTTGGGAGCCACGGCTTCGCGCAAGCTTAGCAGAAACTTGTGCAAACAGGGAGGACCATCCATGTGCTACAGGGGCTGCTCCCTGGCCCACACCCTTCGGTGCCCGCCCTCCCCTGGCACCCCACTGATCCCTCCATCTGCCGCTCCGCACACAGGCTCCCTTGCACGGCAGCCTTCTGCTCAGTGTCTTCCGGAGACCCTCATCAGGTCACTCTGCTACTGGACTCACGGCAGTCAGTAATTACTAGCCACCCCTCCACACCCCAGCCTCAACTGAGACATCAACTCCCTGAGGCACGGCCTCTGTCTTGAACAACCCTATCTGCTCGGATCTGCAGAGGCTGCAAGCCTGACACCAGGTGGGTGCCCAGTGCCTGCCCGCAGAGACAGAGCGTGCCAGAAACTGCCATCAGCTCCCTGGTGGGCTCTGGGAGCGTGAGCAGCATCCAGAGAGTCTGCTCAGCGGCTGAAACCCCACTGATTAGACCCGGGCTGCCCTCCTAAACCTTGTTGGTCTGAAGCGAGACGTGCTCTAGGTATAAAAGATGCACAATACTTCCAAGACTTGATACAAAAATATATGCAAAACATCTCATTCGTGATTTTCCTGTTTTGATTCCACACTGAAATTATTCTATCTCAAAAATTCTGGGTTAAAGGAAATTGGATGGAAATTAGCTTCAGCTGTTTCTTGTTACTTTTTAACATGGCTGCTAAGGAAGTTTTCATGACATCCAGAGTTTGCACTATAATTGCCTGAGTCCACCCTGGTTATTGAAGAAGGAAATGCAACCCACTCCAGTATCCTTTGCCTGGAAAATTCCATGGACAGAGGAGCCTGGCGGGCTGCAGTCCACGGGGTCGCAGAGAGTCGGACATGACTGGGCGCCTAACACACACACCCTGGTTATAATAAGGCCACGAAAGGGCAGCTGGTGACCCAGGTCAGCCCTGACCCCCTCTCCCGGCGGCTGCCAAGTGCTCTCCAGAGCCAGGCAGGAAACACCTGTCAGAGTTTCCTGTGACGCACAAAGACCTAAGTGTGTCCAGAAAGGGGATTCGGAAATCGGGGCTGAAAAGAGTTGAGATAAAACAACTGTGCCCTCAGCAGGGGAACACAACCTGGACAGGGGCCGGCATGGAGTAGCCCTATAAATATGTGTTGGATGAATAAATCGTGCATGCGTGCTGAATCGCTTCAGTCGTGTCTGACTCTGTGACCCCATGGACCATAGCCCGCCAGGCTCCTCTGTCCATGGGATTCTCCAGGCAAGAACACTGGAGTGGGTGGCCATGCCCTCCTCCAGGGCATCTTCCCGACCCAAGGACTGAACCCACGTCTCTCACATCTCCTGCACTGGCAGGCAGGTCCTTTACCTCTAGGGCCACCTGAGAAGCCCTGAATAGATCAGTACTTTGCAAAAAAAAAAAAAAAAAAAAAAACTATTTCTAACTTATCTGCTGGTATTTGGGATCGCAGAACATGAGAAATGGAAGGGGATCTGAAAAATGACTAGGCTCTGCCGTGTGGCTGAGCTGTGAGGACACTGAACCTCCACGTCCCCCCCTGGAGAACAGGTGGTCCCTGCCTCCCACCCTGCCTACCAGGACCAAGCCACCCAGCAGAACTGGCTATGATGAGGGGAGTTCTCTCTGATATGTCCAATACCAGGCCTACTGCGCCCCTGAAAGGTGGCTGCTATGACTGAGGGAGTGAACTTTTAATTTTACTTAATTGTAATTAATTTAAGTTCAAATAGCCACACGTGGCAAGAGGCGGCCATCACGAACAGCATAGCTCTGGGCTGCTGTGACAAGGTGGAAGGAGGACCCTTGGGGGACTCCCCTGGTGGTCCAGGGGCTGAGACTCTGCGCTCCCAATGCAGGGGTCCAGGTTCTACCTCTGGTCAGAGAACCACACCCCACACGCCGCCACCAAGAGCTCGCACGTCACAACTAGAGATCCTGTGTGCTGTAAGCAAGACTCACCGCAGCCAAAGAAAGGAAAGCATTAAAAAAAAAAACTTTTTGGAAACGTCAAATCCTGATAGAAATGAAAGGGGTCGTGCTGCTGAATTAATTCCAAACGTGAGACTCTAAGAGATCTCAACTGCCCAACCAACAGTCCTGATTCATCATAAGTGCAAAAACTTCCCACACGCAGAGAAGGTGCTTCACTTGGGGGAGAAAAGGGCTCACAGATGAACCAGAACACAGCAAGAGTCCTTCAGAAGCAGGTCGGCAAGCCAGCTTTGCCTCTCCGGGCCACCTCTGGCCTCGACGTGCGGGGACAGTGCCGGGTTGCCTGGCTGGTGGATGACATTCCTGAGACCTCCCACCCCCTCACCCGGAGGGACCAGCAGTAGCCCGCCCCTTCTGCTGACCTTCCCTGCCATTCCTTCTGCTACTGACGCGGGCCCTCCCCCAGCTCCCAGACACAAGCGGGGGTTGTCAAACCTGCTGGGAAGTGGTGGGAAAACCGACCCCTGTTGAAAAGGGATGGGAGCTAAGTGGGAGCCATGAAGAGTGTTAATCTCTTTACTCAGGCGGGAAGATGCCCATGAACTTCAAATCGAGGTCTCAGCTCCCCACATTTTTCCAGGCAGGAAAGCACTTCCGAGACTAAACAGCTTTTCTTTACCATTAAGGTCATTAATATTCTACACCCAAGCAGACAATAAAGAAAAAAAGCAGGAGAGTGGAAGGGCAGGGGTGGGGTTGGGGGGGAATGGTTAGGGCCCAAAAGTCAAAAAAGATCTAAGTGGTTTTGAGGAAACACATGATATTTCCAAGCAGCAATGTAAGGAGTCACCGTAAAAGATTTAATAAGAGATTTTGTGAGCTCATTCATTCTTATCCATTAAAGGGCACAGCTATATTCCCCCCTTAGTCCTTCTAACTTTGCAACAGACCACACTAACTTTAGGGCTTAAGAGTGTGTGAAGCCCTTGGTTTGGGCCCCTCCCAGCTTCCAGGATGAAAACCATGTGAAATTGGATCCACATGTGTTCCACCCACAAGCTGGCCTCAGTAGTGTAATTTACTCTGTCCGGCAGCTTGCTGTTGCTCAACTTCAAGGAGGGAACGCCAGCAGCCACTCTGCAGTTATTAAAACAGAGTGAACCAGCCTGGGGTCAGCAGGACAGAGGCCACCTTCACTTTGGAACCCAGCTTTCTGTACCTCAAGTTCAGTCTCCCGTCTGTTGATATCATCCGTGGATTGATTGAGCTTCTCCAGTTCCCCCTGATGAAAAAAAGGGATAGAAATAAAGATTTCAGGGATGCATGTCTTTGGTTTCCACTGTGACTCAGCCCCAAACCCTGTAAAATTACTCTGGCCAGTTTGTAGGAAGAGAAACCAGTCTGTACTAATTGTCAAGGAAAACAGTTGTGCCTTGGCTGGAAGAACAAATGAATTTCTGAAACCTTTTTCTTGATAATGGCCTTTTTGAAAATGACTTAAGGTCCCAGGAATTCGTCTTTTCTTAGAAGGTCAATTATTTATTGCAGGTATGTGCCGTCAGGTAAACCCACCTGTTACAAATGGTTTAGAGGCTAAATCAAAATAATGCTTTCTGCTTTAGAGCAGGAATTTTGCAGAAAAGATAAAAGAAAACAAAGCCAAGCCTAAAGTATAAACTCAATGAAATCATGCAAACCAAGGGTGGAAATCTGGCATTAACTCACCCATAGTTGAGCATTTTTCTGTAGAGAGCATTTTCTTCTCAAACTGCCAATTATTCAATCTACCTAGCTGTTTACAAAACAACTAAAACTAGCTTTAATCCTAATCCTTAAAAATTTACAAGCTAACATTTTGTAAAAAGCGCCCAGCATGAAGTTAACTCATTTTACTCTGCAAACAAAGGATCTTGTTAACAGAATTCCCCTACCAAGAAAACAAAATTTAGTAGCCCGAACTGATTTTAACAGAATTCCTAATATGAAGCTTTTTCCACCTGATCTTTATCTTGCTCACCTGCCATAACAATTCAGTTAAACACAACAGCTGAGTTAAATGAGCTTTTTAATAGATCTGCGCACTGAAAAACCAATTAGGTCTCCAGAAATCGCAGCGCATGCTGAAAAGCAGCATTTTGTTACAAGTGACTTATGTTAGAGTAGAAAAATGGGTCTCGGAAAGGGATGTGCTGTGTCTTTTTGCTTAGAGGGTGAAGAGGTTAAGCTGTCACTTTGAGATCTCGGCTAGGAAATTGCTTTTTAATCATCTCCTGGAGACATGGAGGCGCAGGAAGCAGGCCAACCCTCTCGCCTTCTCGCGCGTCAGCTTTGCGCACCAGTTGGCCCTGATTTCTGTTCACACTCGACCTCACTAGGAGGAAAAGCTGGGTTTTAAACCATTTGAGGGCAGCCGGAGGGCTGAGCCGGGGGCGACAATAAACCCTTCGGTTTGCTAACAATGAATCGGGGGGCGGAGGGCATGGCTCCGGACGGTCCCCTCTGCCAGGTGAGGGCTCCGACCCCCGGGCAAGGCGGCCGCCCCAGGTGTAGGGGGCGGCCAGGGCCACCGCCCCGGGGGCGCGCGCTACGCCACCGGCCGGGCACCCGGCGTCCGGAGGTTGCGCAGAGCCCGCGGCGCGGCAAGCCGATCGGGTACCCCGAACCTGGCGAGGAGCCCCCACCCCCTTTCCTCTTTGTTGCACGTCCGCCCCAAGCGCAGGGCAAGCTGCGGGCGACCCTCGGATCCCACCGGGGGTCCCGGCGATGGAGTCGGGCCGCGTCCGCGCGGGCACCGCAGCCTCCCCAGGAACCGGGCGAAACCCGGCGCTCGGAGCCTCTCTCCCCCGCAGCCCCGGGCCTCCCCGGGCCGCTCCCCTGCGCACAGGCACCCGGAGCTCCGAGGCGGGCTGAGCGCGGAGGCCAGGGCCCCCGTGCGCCCCCCGCACACCCCACCTGGATCCGGGGGTCCACCTCCTCCTCGTCCGCCAGACCGGGTTCCATCCCGGCTTCCTCCTCCTCCTCCTCCGAGTCCCGAGCAGGCGGCGGGCGCTCCGCCGGCCCCTCCGGGCGGTTCCGCCTCGGCGCGGCGTCCATGCCGGGGGCGGCTGGGGGCGCGCGGGGCTGGCGGCCGCAGGTCGCGCCGGAGCCTCCTGGCCACGGCCGGGCGGGGAAGCTGGGCGCCGCTCGCGGCCGCGGGTCCCCGGGCTCGGGAGGAAGTGGGCGCGGTCGCCCTCTCTCCGCCGCGGCCGTCAGCGCCGCCCGCTCCGCCCCCGGCCCGCCCCGCGCCGCTCCGGCTCGGCCCGGCCGCCGGGGGAACCGCGCTCCGTCACAAAACCTCCCCACCAGCAAGCCCGTAGGTAGTGAAATGGGGGAGCCCTCACCCCAGTTTTAACTTAGCAGCCGGAAGAGATCGCCAGCTCCCCAAGGTCGGCCGCCGGGTGTCCGGGTGCTCTTCCCCCTCCCGCCTCTGCCAAGACGAAGTGACTCCGTGGAGGGAAATTGTTAATCGTTCAGTCGTGTCCGACTCTTCGCGACCCCATGGATTTAGCCCCCAGGCTCCTCTGTCCAGGGGATTCTCCAGGCAAGAATACTGGGGTGGGTTGCCTTGCCCTCCTCCAGGGGATCTTGCTGACCCGATGATGGAACGCGGGTCTTCTGCATTGCAGGCGGATTCTTCACGGCCTGAACCGCCAGGGAAGCACGGTGGAAGGAAAGTTTGGGGGTATTTCCACCATCTGAAGTCCCCTTTAGAAGCTTGTCCTCCGTGACCTTGGACCAGTTGCAAGACTCAAACCCCTATGTACACTCCAAGCACTTCTGTCCCCTTGGGTGAACCTGAGGAAATGTATCCCCCTGAAGATTTCCCCAGAAAAGGGAAGGGAAACATGTGCTCACATAGACACAAACCGACCCAGAGGGGAGCCGGCTCCAGCTCCAGGGGTGGATTCCTTGTCCAAAGGCTGTGCCGGCCCTGAGCAGAGCTCCATGCCCAAGAAGCTCCGCTTTCAGAGTTGTGGGACGGCCCTACCTGAATAGCTGGGAAGCACGGAAAATCCATTGATCAGGGTTGTGGGCGGTTGCATGTGTGCGTTCAGCCTTCTCCAGGAGATGCGAGTGTTAACCCGTTAATGGGCACACTCCATCCAAGGGGTTACTGACTGAGGAGGTGTGCTGCCCACCCTGAACAGAGTGGGGTGCCAGAACTTGCCCAGCAAACTCAAAAAAATCCAAAGAATAAGGGTCATGTCTGCGCTTTTATGAAATGTCAGGGCCACTGTGATGTCAGGGGAGCAGAAGGGCAGATGACCCTAGCAAAGCAGGCAAGGACATTGCCACTGGCCATTGCTGATGTCTCTTTCACTACAAAAATGCAGAGTGTATGCTCTTTCTACGCAAAGGCTTGTGGCCCGTGGGCTCTGTTGAGTTTGGAGCGCAGACTTCCTTGAGAAAGAAGCTTCTTTCTGGGCTTGTCATTAAAGCCAGCCTTGGGAAACCTGTTTATGGTTGGTTTTATCAGAAGCGAAGTTGGGGGGTTACTCCTTGAGCAAAGTTCAACCCTACACACTCTGGTACCGTGGTCCCCCCATCAGAGGGAGCGTCACTGTCTCCTGGAGGTAATACAGGTGTATGTCGTGGGTTTGTTTCTGAACAGGTCACACCTGTTCGTTGCTCTTTAAATCAAGAGAGAGTCAGCAGGTCTTTGTGAGATGTTCTCAAAGTCCTTGCTAAGGACAGAGTTGCTTTTCATTTCCCAGTGATGGATGAAGGCAGGGTCAAGATGGCCATTAAGAGTCACTTTGGGGCACAAGAGCCACCAGTTTTTCCTCGTCGGCTTGGAATTGAGCCTGTACCTGAGCAGATGGACCCCAGCTGTGGACAAACTGAGACAGGGGCTAAAAACAAGAAAAGTGAGGTCAGCCCTGATCCAAACACTTCCTAAGTGGTGGAACCTCATCGTCACCATTCGAACAGCAGCCTCCAGAATACGTTTCTCTTTAAGTTTAGATTTAAGAGCAATCAGTCAGTCAGTCAGTTCAGTCGCTCAGTCGTGTCCGACTCTTTGCGACCCCATGAATCGCAGCACACCAGGCCTCCCTGTCCATCACCAACTCCCGGAGTTTATTCAAACTCATGTCCATCAAGTCAGTGATGCCATCCAGCCATCTCATCCTCTGTCGTCCCCTTCTCCTCCTGCCCCCAATCCCTCCCAGCATCAGGGTCTTTTCCAATGAGTCAGCTCTTGGCATCAGGTGGCCAAAGTATTGGAGTTTCAGCTTCCGCATCAGTCCTTCCAATGAACACCCAGGACTGATCTCCTTTAGGATGGACTGGTTGGATCTCCTTGCAGTCCAAGGGACTCTTAAGCGTCTTCTCCAACACCACAGTTCAAAAGCATCAATTTTTCGGCGCTCAGCTTTCTTCACAGTCCAACTCTCACATCCATACATGACCACTGGAAAAACCATAGCCTTGACTAGACGGACCTTTGTTGGCAAAGTAATGTCTCTGCTTTTTAATATGCAATAGGGTAGTTCAAATGCCTCTATGGGACACGGGAAACGGCTTCTGAACATCAGTGTAGACTTTTGTTGCTTTATTTTTAGAAGACCTGGGCCAGCTATAGCAAGGATCCCAATAAGTGTTCTGAAGTTTGAAAAAAGGAAAATAAATAAAGCACAGCATTACTATGTACTTCTATGGATACATACATATGCACATCAATGCATAGAAAGAGATATGCAGGGAAGACTCTACCCAACAAAGAGTGGCCAGCCCTGGAAAGGGGGGTAGGGATGGGCCCAGGACTGGCCAGGATCGGGGGTTGGAGATGTCAGAGGGAACTTATCATGTCTTGATAATATTTTCATTTTTATCAGGAGGATATATGTATGATTATTTGTGTAATTGTAGGATAATGCATATTGTATTCATTTTCTATTGCTGTGTAACAAAATACCACAAATTTAGTAGCTTAAAACAGGGCTTGTTTATTAGCTCACAGTTTTATAGCGGGGAAGGGGGGCTTCCCTTGCAGGCTCAGTGGGAAAGAATCCACGTGATAAAGCAGGAGACACAAGTTCAGTCCCTGGGTCGGGAAGATCCCCTAGAGGAGGAAATGGCAACCTACTCCAGTGTTCTTGCCTGGAGAACCCCGTGGAGTCCGTGGAGTCACAAAGAGTTGGCCACAACTTAGCAACTGAACAACCACAAGTGTAGGCCTGATGATCAGGCACAGTGTGACAAGCTTCTCTGCTCAGGGTCTCCCAGACCAAACCAGGGTGTTGACCAGGCTGCAGACCATTCTGACGGCTCTAAGGAAAAAGTCCTTCCAAGCTCATTCAGGCTGTTGGCTGCATTCGGCTCCTTGCGGTTGTGGGACTGAGATGCCCATTTCCTTATTGTCAGCCAAGGGCCAACCCTGGCTGCTGGAGGCCGCCTGCATTCCTTGCAATGTGACCCCCGGCATCTTCAAAGCCAGCAGCAGAGGACCTCCCTTGTGCTGAGTCCATCTCACACTTCATCTTCCTTTCCAGGGGAGCCCAGTCCCTTCTAAGGATTCGTGTGGGTAGGTCAGGTCCACACAGGATAAAGTCAACGGTGCCATCTTCATAGCATAATCATGGAGGTGGCTGTCCCATCACAGTCACAAGCTCCCAACATTTTACAGGAATATGTACAAGAATGGGGCAAAGGTATACTTCTGCCTACCTCGCGTACTAAGGAGGCAAGCCTTATCAGGGGCTTGGAACCCAAATAAATGCTTAATGTTTATTTTGGCTGCCATATTTGATCTGGGTGAATGACTCTATAAAGGATGGGCCGGAGATCCCTAGAAGTCTCTGAGAACTTTCAGGATACGCATGCGATCAAAACTTTCAGATAAATACAAAGACAAGACTTGCTTTCCTCACTCTCATTCTCTTATGAGTATTCACTAGAGTTTCCTAAAAGTTACATGACACATGATATCATAATAGATTGAATGCAGAAGATATGAGAATCCAGCTATCTGTTAAGCCACACATTAAAGAGATGTGCAAAAATGGAAAACAATGCCCTTGTCTCTATGTTTTTTTTTCTTTTGGAAACTTTTATTTTTCATTTTGAAAGCTAGCGTTATCTTTAACAAAATTATTATATTCACATTAACATGTAATAAGTGTGTTGTTATTTTTAGATGAATTCATGAAAGTTTTTTAAGTGGTTCTCATTTCGACACAGCAACCACTTGTGGACGTAACCACATAAACAACAGCTCTTTGAGGTCTTCAGTCACTTAAAAAAATAATAAAGAAGTACTGGCAATAAAAAGTTTGAGAAACGATGAGCTAGAGGAAACATATCCTCCGGCTGGAGCTATCCCTTTTTATTTCTATTTAAGTGTCCCACTGCCTCCTTCACTCAAGAGATTCGTCACCACTCCCAAAACCTCGAATTTGGCCATTGGTGGAGTATTTGGGGCACAGTACATTTCTGCCCATTTCAAGAGCCTTTAAATACAATTTAGCAATTGAAGTGATTGTGATCAGTAGATAAGGTGCTGCTCATATGGGATTAGCTCCTGGGATCTACATTTTTTCAGTTCCTCTGAAGAATCCATTGCCCAATTATAGCATTGCCCCCTTTGGAGAAAACAGATTTTTAGTGCTGCGTGTGTGACGTTGGTTTCCAAGGACACAGCTGCGCCTTGCTGGGCTTGGAGGGGTCGGAGTGGTGGGGGGAACACCTGCGCTGCACTGTTGCGGGAAGGGAGACCCCTTCCAGGACCCAAGAGGGGGCTCTGGTCTGGCACTGGGACATGAATCGTCTGAGGAGTCACACAGGCTGGCAAAGCAGGAGACTCTATTGGGAAGGGGCCGCTGGGTGGAGAGCAGGCGGAGAAGGGACCCGAGGGGGCTGCCCTGCCTCACGGCTCACAGTCCGGGGTCTCACGGTGAGGCGCTTAGTTTCTAGGTTTTCTCTGGCCAGTCGTTCTGACTCAGGGTCCTTCCCAAGGCGAGATGAATGGATTCAAACTGGAGCTCAGCACAGATGGATTCCAGGATCCTGGGAGGCTGGTAGGACATATGCGCTGCCATCTCTTATCTTTTTTT